GCATGACTAAACGCCGAAGGCGCATGGAACGCTGTTACCTTCCCACCAAAGAGGTCCCTATTTTTCTACTTGCACTTTTTACATGCTTTCAAACTGCTAGGTTGGCAGTTCTAGTGCTAGGTAGATTATTAATTATACTAGTAGATTATAATTACTTATTAATTATGTTGAAAGGGGGGAACTATCTTGCTGGATTTTAGTAAGAAGGACTGCAAAAAATAACACACTATTTTATCCTTAATAATACATTCATGCTTTCCAACCCTATGAGTTTACACCGTGTCATCTCTCCTTTTATTATTTGAGCTACGGTCAAACTACCGATAGGTAGTCCTCTCTTTATGGTTCTAACTGAGCCCAGAATTATGCTACTAAGTCATTGTGGTTGTAAGTCGAGGCATCAAGTGACCATGTATAATTTTACAACATGTTTTGCAGTGGTCATTAAGCAAACATCTCGGTCATAGATCGAAGTCATTCAGGCAACTGGGCGATTTTGGGGGGTGGGTTGAAACATTTTGTTGAAGAAGCTACTCAGAGGATCAGTGAAACGTTTCAAACCCCAAAGAAAAAAACGTCCAGTCGCCATGACTCAGCTTCCAAACTTTTGGCTAAGTTGAAAATCTTCCTCCCAATATATTTCAGCATTGTTGTACAGACTGTCCTCACTTACAACCACAATAGAGCGCAACATTTCTGTGGCTAACTGAGACGGTGGTGAAGTGAGTTTTGCCCTATTTTAGGACCTTTCTTGCCACGGTTGTTAAGTGAATCACTTGCGGTCGTTAAGGTGGTGACACGGTTGTTAACTGAATCCGACTTTGCTTGTCAGAGCGCCACAAAATGGGATCACGTGACCCCAGGACACTGCAACCATCACAAATATGAACCAGTGGCCAAGTGTCCGAGTTTTGATCAGTGGTTGTAACTGTGAAAAATGGTCATATGTCACCTTTTTCAGTGCCATTGTAACTTCAGCTGGTCACTATATGAATGGACTATCTGTCTATGGTGATCCTCAGTTATCCAGGTTGTGGTTGTCCCAAAGGTGCTTTTTTCAAGAGGCAACTGGACTTTCTTTGTTTTTGCTTGAAGGCATGTCACTTCTCATCCAAGAAGTGTCAACTCATAAAATATTTCTATGGTCTGTTTAGAGCTGCCAACAGAAAGGGAGAGGGGGAGCAGTGCGCCAGCTTGCAAAACCGAAACTGCATTCCACAAATGTTTTTAAAGATAGTAACTAGGTGACTGAAGTTTCTGCCACACCAAATTCTAACTGGAGAACATGATTAATGACTCTTGGCTATGGATGTGTCCCATTGGAGAATATGAATTATGATACATCCAGGGGGTGGGAGAACACAGGGTCAAGGGTGACAATAAATGATGTGTCTGAGAGTTGGCTACACCCAGGCAGTGCTGGCATGTGAACTCCCAATAAATCCTTTTGAAGTTTTGGAAGTTTGGCTCAAGACTCACGATTCAATTGGGGTAACTGCCGGAACCCTGACAAGAAGCTTCTTCAGTTCTGTAGAACTTCTGAAGAACTGAAGAAGCTTCTTGGATGAGAAGCGAAACCTCTTCAAGGAAAAACAAAGGAAGTCCAGTTGCCTCTTGGAAAAAGCACCGTTTGATCAAGGTCTACCGTAATGGGAGCCCCTGTTCCCTCTCCCTTTCTGCAGGAACAGTTTTTATCGATGCCAAGGCTGTATTTTCACAGTGATAGAAACTACAGCAGCTAAACGCATCCCGTGCATAAAAAATGATGCCAACACAACAAAAATCAGTTCATTGGATAAGTGCTCCCGGCCATGTCTAAGGCTGCATGGTGTGAAGACCCATCTTCAGTGCCTCTAAAAATAAAAATAAAAATTAAGCACATCCAGGAGAGCATGCCATTCAGGGGGTAGGGAAATGAGCCAGCAGGATGTGATCAAGAGCACCTCTGAACATGGCATGAAAAGATTCCGCAGGAAGCACATGAGAAGCTCAGAACAAAATTGCCTATGTCCTAACCTAGGCGAGTATTGGGGTGATCCTTTGGCTGAATACTTCTTATGCCGGGGAGTTGAAGAGGGTGGGGGACCCACAATCATATCTATCCTGGCAAAAATAAATCAGAAAAACAGACACACCAACAAAACACACAATGAAGCAACATGTCGGAGAAAGAATTGAGTTGGGAACTTTGCAGCGGGAGAAAACTTTTGAAATCGAGAAACAAAAGGGAGAGATTATCTCTGCTTAGAAAATTAAAAAAACAAAACAAAAACGAATATCCAAACAATCTGATCATTTAGAATGGTTGTTAAAAAGTGGTGGGTTTTTCAGCGACAATGGAATAATCCTTCTTTGGGAAGGATCCAAAGGAACCCCTCGTCAAAGGATTCATTGTTCAGCAATGAGCAGGCTAAGTATGAACAGACAAGTTGGGAAATGCATGAAAATATTCCATTGCAAACAACAACAACAACACAACCCACAACTTTGCGCTCCTCCTTCTGATGAAGTACTCAAAGCCATTCACGGCGCTAAAAAAAAAGGAAGACTCCACACTGCAGCAATCAACGGAAGGTACGTCAACCCGTTTGGGGAAGAGAAAAGCTCAGAGAAAACCAGTACACATCTACACGGGGTGGACCAAGAGACAGGTATAGCAAGACCCGCTTGCAAAAATAGTGAAAAGTGGGTAAGAAGAACACAGAAATGCTATATGTTGTTGTGGAATCCAGCAGCTGAAATTAAAAATTGGTTAAAAAGTGGAACGGTCTCTCAGCCCTAGGAAGGAGGCCAATGCAAACCAATTCTGAAAAACCTGGCCAAGAAAACAGCAGGGATAATCTCCAAGAAAATATATGTGTGTGTGAGAGAGGAGATGAGGAGATGGTGTGTGTGTTTGTGTGTGAGTGTGTGTGGGTATGTGTGGTCTCGTATCCTCGAACAGAGGCTTGAGAGTTTGAGAGTTCTGCGCAAGATCTTAGTTTGAGCAGGGAGCTGGACTAGAACAGTGATGGAGAACCTTTTCGTTGTGGTGTGCCGAAAGCACGCACGCCCCAGCACCCACAATGCAATGCCCCCTGCCCCCTTACCTAATCTGCCCATGCGCGCACCTCCCAGCTGACTTTTGGCCTGTTTGAGGCCATTTTCACCCTCCTGGAGGCTCAAGGGAAGCCTCCGCAACCTTGGGAGGCTGAAAACGGGCCCGTTTCAGCATTTCCGGTATTTCTGGAAGGCCCTTTTTTCAGCCTCCCAAGGCTGCAAAGGCTTCCCTTGAACCTCTGGGAGGGCAAAAACGGCCTCAAATGGGCCGAAAATCAGCTGGGAGGCGCATGCATGTACAGTGCAGGTAAGTTTGGCTGGGGCTTGCGTGCCTGCACAAATGGCTCTGCATTCCAACGGTGGCACATGTCCCATAGGTTCGCCATCACGGGACTAGAACATCTCCAAGGTCCCTTTCAACACTGTTATTCTGTCACACACATACACACACACACATTTTTGATATTGAACACACTAGATAATGGGACAGTGGGGGTCTTCAGGGCATGTGGGAGCATCCAAAAAGTCAAAATGGTATCTGTGACAATCAAAACTCCACCCATTTTTTAAATTTTAATTTAATTTACTTATTGAATTCATATAAGCTGTCCATCTCATGAGCAAGTGGCTCTGGATAGTGTTTTTATGTGCACTGCTGATACAAAACATGTAAAATAAGAAAGTGAGGTTTTTGCACACTCACTCTTCATCTCGATTTCTTTGACAAATGTCCCTACGAAGGTGAAAACCAACATCAGAAACTACTGCAGGTAGTCCTCGACTTACGACCCCAATTCAACCTCAAATTTCCGTTGCGAAGAGAGACAGTTCAGTGAGCTTTGCCCCGTTTTGTGACCTTTCATGCCACACTTATTAAGTGAATCACTGCAGTTGTTAAGTTAGTAACACAGTTATTAAGTGAATCTGGCTTTCCCCATTGACTTTGCTTGTCAGAAGGTCACAAAAGGGGAATGAACGTGACCCTGGGACATTGCAACCGTCATAAATATGAACCAGTTGCCAAGTGTCTGACTTTTGATCATATAATCATGGGAATGCTGCAATGGTCGTAAGTGTGAAAAACGGTCATAAGTCATTTTTTTCAGTGGCGTTGTAACTTTGGATGGTCACTAAATGAACGTTTGTTAAGTCGAGGACTATCTCTACTTCCCAGTATATTGTCCAGCTAGGAGAATAATTTACCCAGGCTGAGGTTCTTGCTTTTTCTGTTTTGTTTTACAAGAATATAAACGATATGTATGATAAGTAAAATTATACCTGTGAAAATATAAAGGGATGGTCATGCCATTTTTAACCTCTGTGTTAACCTAAGATAATTTACTGGAATATTATGTGAGAATTCTCTATTGTTTTGTATAATGGTTATATATTTGGCAGATCATGATGTCCAGTGTCATCTTAATGAAGGAGATTACTGGAAATGGAAACGGGTAAACAGGTTAAGGAAACAGATGTTATGCTACAATAATAATAGGAGTGTTGCGTAGGGAGATACATAGCTGGATAAATTGTGAACCCGGAAAAGGGCAGCGACTGTATATTTGAAACTGTATATAAACCCCAGCCCTCCCAGGAAACATGTCTTCTGCAGCCATGAGTACAGAATTCCCTTTCGCAAAAGCTCCATAATAAAGTTCCTATTGTCCTATGTCTGAATACCTGAGTGGTTGATATTTATCACAATATGCCAAATATAATTTCCATGTGTGCTAAAGTTTAGTTTTCATTTCTTGCCTATACCACAAAAGATATAGTACTTTCGAGAACACCCCAACGGAGAGCAGGGGAGATTGTTGGTCCACATTCAAACAACCACTTTCGCTCTTTCTGATATACTGATCGCCTCAACGTCATATTCCAGAATACCAAACCCCACCTAAGTCAAGTATGAGGAATAACGGATACCAGAAGCCACCAGAGATGAAAAAGAGAAGACTTGCCTGGACTGAAGATTTTTAATCCGGGAAAGCATGTCGAGATGTCCCGCTGAATACTGTTCAATGACGTCCATCACATCATACGGCCGCAGGCTCTCCTTGAATTTTCGCTTGGAAACCAGGAACCGCATGATGCTAAAGCAGAAAAACAGAGTGACAAGCAGGAACCTGCAGTGGTTTATTCTTTCTAACTGTCCATCTGTCCATGGATGGTGTCACAAGGGGAGCCTGGAGATCTATTGCTTTAAATCAGTGTTTCTTAATCTGGGCAACTTGAAGATGTATGGACTTCAACACCCAGAATTCCCCAGCCAGCATGGGGAATTTCTCAGCTAGCATGGGGAATCACCAGAACCTGCTGAATACCACCTCTGGTAAAATGGACACACGACTTACCACACTGCCCGGATGCTGGCTTTAAGGCCTGGTGTAAGGTCTTCTGTCAAAAATTCACAGTGGCAGCTCTTGTTGTCAGGGTCAGGCATGTCTTCTCCAGGGAGGCTTGCTTCTAGTTACAGATGTGGAAAAAGGAGAAGACAGATATTCAACAGGAAGAGCCTCAAGCTGGGGCGGAATGAACAGAAACACAAACTAGCTAGAAAAGCAGACAATGAAGAAGGTGAGAGGGGGAAAGAACATACTTATGCACTATCTGCTGAAAGATTCATCTAGAGAAGCACTTAGGTTTTTACTCGCTATATTTAACGATCCATCCTGTAGCTTTCCAAAGGCTTCTGGACGGTTTCCAGGATTAAAAGGGAATTAAAAGGTGCAGTTTATAGCTGCAAAAACGCTACATTAAAATGAAAGGACTTAAAGAGAGTTGCATTCTCCTAAGCGCACAAAACATTTCTCTGCAAAATCATAGAATAGAAAAAAAGGATGTCTTGCCTAGAATGGTGTTTTTGTTCCAGACAATACCTGCTCTGATGACTTATGGCCCAGTTAAACAGTGGCAAAAGGATATACCTAGGTTTTGTGTGACGGAGCAGGGGAAGAAACATGAGTTAAAGATAAGCAGTTAGAAGATGCAAAGGAACTGGGTTTGCCTGATTTGAAATTGTATTTTGCAGCTTGCTAAAGGTAGTCCTCATTTTACAACCACAACTGAGCCCAAAGTTGCTGTTGGTGAATAAGACGTTGCATAATTTTGTCCCAATTTACGACCTTTCTTGCCAGTTGTTAAGTGAATAGCAATAAAAAATAGTACTTAGACTTAGATATCGTTTCACAATGCTTTGATAGCCCTCTCTAAGTGGTTTACAGAGTCAGCTTATTTCCCACAACAATTTGGGTCCTCATTTTACCTACCTCGGAAGGATGAAAGCCTGAGTCAATCTTGAGCCTGGCGAGAATCGAACTGCCAAATTGCAGACAGCTGGCAGTCAGCAGAAGTAGCCTGCAGTACTGCATTCTAACCATTGCAGCTATTAAGTTAGGGGATCACAGGACCTCAGGACAATGCATAATAGCAATAGCATTTAGACTTATATACTGCTTCACAGTGCTCTATAGCAGCGGTCTCCAACCTTGGCAACTGTCAGGTTTCCAAGTGATGAAATCCATTTAAAAAGAAAAGAACAAAGTCCATCTTCCAAGACAAATTCTTTTATTTAGGAAAGCATCAAACTGGCAAAGCTCATGGTAATTCCAGATCTGACACAACCCAAAATTACCCCACAATATTAAAAGTTAGAAACAACCCCCAAAAGTCACATTCTCCAATAGAAGTAATTCAACGTTGCTTGATGTCATAAATCTCCACCTCAAGGGGCCTAAGCACGGAAAGCTCGTTTTCCCACAGGAAGAAGAACCACCTAGCCAAAACAACTTTCTTTATCTCCACTCCTTAGGAATGTGGCAAGCCCGAAAACCTTCCCCCGCCCGCAACTGCCACAGAGAAAGTAAGAAAAAGAATGTATACTAAGCCTAACTAAAATGGCTACATATATATGTCAATTTCGGGCTTGACAGCAACTTTAAGCCTGGTGGATTTCAACTCCCAGAATTCCCCAGCCAGCTTTGCCAAGGCTAGAGACCCCTGCTTTACAGCATTCTCTGGGCAGTTTACAGAGTCAGCCTATTGCTCCCAACAATCTAAGTCCTCATTTTATCAACCTTGGAAGGATGGAAGGCTGAGTTAGTCAACCTTGAGCCAGTCAGAATTGAACTCCAAGCTGTGGCCACAATACTGCATTCCAACCATTGTGTCACCAGGGCGCCATAAGTGCTGATTAAGATAATTAGCGGCAAAAAAGATTGTAAACCGGGGGGGGGGACTTATTGGTAGTCCTCAATGTATGACCACAATGGAGCCCAAAATTTATGTTGATAAGCGAGGAATTTGCTAAGTGAGCTTTGCCTCATTTTACGACTTTTCTCACCACATTTGATAACTGAATCACTGCAGTTCTTAAATTAGCAACACGGTCGTTAAGTGAATCTGGTTTCCTCATTGACTTTGTTTGTCAGAAGGTTGCGAAAGAGAATCACCTGACTCCGGGACACTGCAACCGTCATAAATGTGAGTCAGTTGTGAAAGATTCAAATGTAAATCATGTGACCCTGGAGATGCTGCAACCGTGAAAGATGGTCATCAATCATTTTTTTCAGGGCCATTGTAATTTCTAACAGTCGCTAAATGAGCTGTTGTAAGTCAAAGACTACCTGTACGTTGCTTTGCAATGGAAACTTTCGGCTCAATTGTCATTGTAAGTCGAGGACTACCTGAAATTTGCTGCTGTCTCCTTTCTCCTGCCAAAACCTCTCAAGACAAACACAGACCAAGACTTGCGTGGACAAACCTTCTGCTGTCAGGATTAACCCCATTTAAATCATGAGTCTCAAGCCAAACTTCCAAAACTTAAAAAGGATTTATTGAGAGTTAACATGCTGGCACTGCCTGGATGTAGCCGACTCTGAGACACATAATTCATTGTTACACTTGACCCTGTTTCCCCCCCTACCCCCTGGGTATATCATAATTCATATTCTCCAATGGGACACCTCCACAGCCAAGAATCATCAATCATGTTCTCCAGTTAGAATTTTGCACAGCAGAAATTTCAGTCACCTGGTTACTATCTTTGAAAACATTTATGGAATGCGGTTTCAGTTTGCAAGCTGCTGCACTTCTCCCCCCTCCCTTTCTGTTGGCAACTCTAAAAAGACCAGAGAAATATTTTATGAGTTGACATCTGGCTCACCTTCCGAATTCTGACGGGACGCGGCTCCTTTGATGCGAAAAGCTTGCCGTGCCCGAGTCTGGTCTCCAAAACTCCAGCTCTTGGGGACTTTACTTGGGCTATCTTCCATGCTCTGGTCGGCACTGGGGGATCTTCGGATGCTTGACCCCTGAGGAGAACTTTTACTTTTCGTGGTCGCACCTCGAGGGCTGGAGAAGACACGCTCTTTCAAGCTGACCTTTTGACTGGACACGGAGACAAATCAAAATGAGACCAGAGAAAAAAGGGGAGAGACAAGCGGGGCGGGGGGAGGGGGGGTCACTTCCAAAACCGCCATGAGGGGAGGGGGAGGCTCCCTTTTAGACATTCAAAAATTCCAACAGTCTTTCAAAAAGCAGCAGCAGTAGAAGCAGGGGCCGTGCCGAGATGTGGCTTTGGGACATCGCTGACTTGAAAAGGCGTCTCGGGAAAGTTTTCCGTGGTCGATGAATGGAGATAGGGCGGGGGGGGGCGGCACCCATTAAGGAAAGAGGGAAGGAAGGAGAGAAAGAAAGAAAGAACTGAGGGAGATGAATGAATGGGAAAACAGACAGTGATCTGGTCAGATGGAATATGTAGAGTGCAGATGGAACGACGGGCATGAAGGTTTAGATACGAAGCATTCGGTCCGAGCAGCTCCGTGCAAGGGGAATGGCCCAACGGTCAGAAACCTGGCCCCTGATTTCTGAGTTTAGCTCTCCAAGATGCACCCTGTCAAGAGCCATTTCTTGCCTGTCTTCCACTCTAGAACCCGGCTTCTGTGAGCAAGCTGACAAGGTAGGCTGAGAAAGTATCTGCAGACCCCTCACATCCTGGACATAAACTGTTTCGACTCCTTCCCTTGGGACGGTGCTAAAGGGCATTGTATGTCAAGTCAACTAGACACAAATACAAAGGTCTATAAATGTGATGACCCAAAGGGGCGTGGCACAAAAGCAACAAAGTCACAAAAATAGGTAAAAGTCCCTTTAATTCCTCCAACTTGGCCCCCAGTGTCCAGTTATCTTCGGCTGCACAAAAAACTCTCCCAAGAACAGTCTTTAAAGGGAAGAAATTCAGATCGAACCCAAAGTACATATAAATTATAAAGAAAAACCAACACAAACTACACTGCAGCATTTAACAAGACAGGGCAGGATAAGGAATCGCAGACTTCCAAAAGGTAACGAAACACACACAGTTGGGATGATGCCAGAACCCAGATATGCCTCGACAAACAAAGATAATGCACGCTTGGCTTCCAGCAACTTTGCTGTGAGTAGTTTGTCTTTTTAAACACTGTTTTCCCAGCTGCAGCTAATGAAAGGGATCAGGGCCCTTTCCTCCCCTGTAACCCACGTAACTCACTTTGCTCCCTTCTCTGTTCCTCCCTGCATGCCCTAGGATGAAGAGGGGGTGGGTCTCGGTCTTCCTCTGAATGCCTAGCCGGACTGTGCCCTTCCCTAGTTTCCTCCACAGCCACCAGAGCCACACTCCCACTCCCTGTCAGCTCCTCAATCTTCCCCTCAGAATCAGATTCCAACGGGGGGCATGACAATAGAGATTCTCAGTCATGCAGGTCGTGGTTGTCCCAAAGGTGCTTTTTTTTCTAAAGTCAACTGGACTTGGTAATTTGTTTTTTTTCTTCTTCCAACTGTTTTGCAGAACCAAAGATGCTTCTTGAATGAGAAACGCTTTCCAGAAGAAGAAGAAACTAAGAAAAGTCCAGTTGTGTTTTGAAAAGCACCTTTGAGACACGAGGATAGATTGTTCCCTCGTGCCCTCATTCTGCCGACCACCTAATTCTCAAAATACAGGTAGTCCTCGACTTACGACCACAACAGAGCCCAAACTTTATGTCACGAAGGGAGACATTTGTTAAGTGGGTTTGGCCCTATTTTACAACCTTATGTGCCACCCACAGCTCTTAATAGCAAGGGCACTTAGACTTATATAGCGCTTCACAGTGCTTTTACAGCCTTCTCTAAGCGGTTTTACGGAGCCAGCCTCCTGCCCCCAATCATCCGGGTCCTCATTTTACCCACCTCGGAAGGAAGGAAGGCTGAGTCAACCTTGAGCCTGGTGAGATTCGAATTGCCAAATTGCAGGCAACCGGCAGGCAGCAGAAGTAGCCTGCAGTACTGCACTCCAACCACTGAGCCACTGCGGCTCAACAAATCATTGGAGTTGTTAAGTTAGTAACATGGTTGTTAAGTGAATCTGGCTACTCCATTGACTTTGCTTGCCAGAAAGTCACAAAAGGGAATCTCATCACCTTGGGACACTGCAAGTGTCATAAATATGAACCAGTGGCCAAGCATCCAAATTTTGATTATGTGACCATGGAGATGCTCTGTCACAGTCAAAAATCTGAAAAAAATCGCTTTTTTTAGTGCCATTGTTAACTTCGGTCCCTAAAGAAACAGTTGTAAGTCGAGGACTAGCTGTATCTAACGTTACATGAGGCATCCTTCAGCCAGATATCTGCCATCTGAGCTAATATACAGACAGACTTTGGAAAGACAGTGAAATTGGAAACTGCAAGCAAATAAAGAGGAATTAAAGTCAAATGAGGCCTTTTGAGCTTGTACTGGACCCCTATTTCATTTATGGAAATATGGCTTCATTTATGCAAAGCTTTTTTGCATAGATGCTTTGAATAATATCTCGCATGGGGCCAATAAACATTGATGTTGGTAGATGAGGATGCGTGTGTGTATTCGTGTGAATAAAAGTACTTACTGGGGAGTTGTGACAATATAAGGTAGTGTTTGTCAACCCTGGCAACTTGAAGATGTGTGGAGTTTAATTCCCAGGGTTCCCCAGCCAGCCATGCTGGTTGGGGAATTCTGGGAGTTGAAGTCCACATGTCTTCAAGCTAACAGGATTGAGAAACACTTAAGTGACAACACTTGAAGCCTCATTTTTAGTGTATGGGTAACCTAGGCAAAGGTGGCTCAGTGGCTACGACGCTGAGCTTGTCAACCAGAAAGGTCGGCAGTTCGGCAGTTTGAATCCCTAGCAATGTGTAATGGAGTGAGCTCCCGTTCCTTGTCCCAGCTTCTGCCAACCTAGCAGTTCGAAAGCATGTAAAAATGCAAGTAGAAAAATAGGGACCACTTTGGTGGGAAGGTAACAGCGCTCCATGCGCCGTTGAGGCTTAGTCGTGCCAGCCACATGACCACCAGGGTTGCCAGATCGCAGTTTGGCTCTGCGGCCAAACTCAAAGTCAAAATACGACCAAATTCGGCCAAATTATTTTTTGCTCATGGTGACGCGCATGCGCGAGGGAAGGAGAGCGCCAGAGGACGCGCTTGTCCTCCTTTTGCTCATGGTGATGCGCATGTGCGAGGGAAGGAGAGCGGCTGGGTTGCCATTTCACGGCCAAGCAACTTTCGTATGGCCAAATTTTTGGCCAAATAAATTTGGCCGGAGACATCATTTTTTCACAGCCAAGCAGATAGAAATACGGCCAGATTTCTTGAATTTGGCCGGAAAAACGGCCAGATGGCAACCCTGATGACCACGGAGATGTCTTCGGACAGCGCTGGCTCTTCAATTTGTAACGGAGATAAGCACCACCCCCTGGAGCTGGAAGCAACTAGAACGTATGTGCGAGGGAAACTTTTACCTTTCACCTAGGCAAAATATTTTTCAAATACTACCTTCCTGTAAGTTATTCTTTTACGGCTTCTGGTATTATACTTATGGCCTATTTTCCACAAGACATGATTTCTAATTATCCTATGTTATGCCTTATTCCCAAAGTCATCTTCGATGGCTCAAAACTTGGAGCGCGTGTGAGAATTCTATGTGGCTATTTCACGCTGTGAATTAAATGAAGCTATGGATTACAAGGGGGAAAAAAAACAGCATAATGTAATGCAATTGAGCCCAACATTTCCAACTGCTAACCGAGACGGATGTTAAGTGGGTTTTTCTTGCTACAGTTATTAAGTGAATCGCTGCAGTTGTGTAAGTTAGTAATCTGGTTTCCCCATTAAGTTTGCATGTCAGAAGGTGGCAAAAGATGATCACCTGATTTTAGGACACTGCAATCATCATAAATTTTGATCACGTGACCTTTTGGACATTGCAACGGCCATAAGTGTGAAAAATAGCCATAAGTCACTTTTTACAGTCCCTAAACTAACTATTGTAAGTCAAGAATTACCTATAATTGTTCTCACTGTCAGACATTGTCTGCTTAATTCTAAGTTGGATCTCTGTTTGATAAGCTTCCATCCATTACTTTTTGTCCAAAAACAAAAAAAAGTGGAGGAATACATCCATAGGAATAAAGGAAACACTTTTTTACTGCTCCTTGTTTAAAAATATCACAGGGAACTTAAGGAGAATGCCACTTGTGTTTAAGAATAATAAAGATGGCTAAGCCCACAGCCAACCATCTTGGAAATGAAAACCTTTTGTAGGAAAAAGGATTTTTGAACCAAAAGAACAGAATGTTAAGTAGAAGAAGATTCACAAGCCTGAGACACATACATGGACATACAAATAATATGGGATCTCAAATTCAAAGAGTCTACACTTTCACCCTGCTATGTCAAGAATAAATTTAAGCTTTGATTATAACAGACAATATAACAGATAATCAGAGTCGGGAGGAACCTGGTAGGTCATCTAGTCCAACCCCACCCACCCAAGCAGGAGACCCTACACCATTTCTGACAGATGGCAGTCCAATCTCTTCTTGAAAGCCTCCAGTGATGAAGCTCCCACAACTTCCGAAGGCAACTTCTGTTCCATTGGTTGATTGTTCTCCCTGTCAGAAAATTTCTCATTATTTCCAGGTTAAATCTCTCCTTGATCGGTTTCCATCCATTATTCCTTGTCTGGCCTTCCAAGGTTCTTTGGAAAACAGCTTGACCCCTTCCTCCTCTCTGTGGCAGCCCCTCAGATATTGGAAGACTGCTATCCTGTCTCCCCTGGTCCTTCTCTTCACTAGACTAGCCAAGCCCAGTTCCTGCAACCGTTCATCATATGTTTTATTTAGATTATGCTGGCTGCCTTTCTACTGATATTATAGTATTTAGGATGGCAGGATTACCATCTTGTCTTTGTAACTGTCTACGGAGATTCTCAGTCATCCCGGTCATGGTTGTCCCTAAGGTGTTTTTTTTTCAAAAGGCAGCTGGACTGCCTTGGTTTTTCCTTGGAAGACATTTCGCTTCTCATCCAAGGAGCTTCTTCAGTTCTGACTGAACGG